AAGCCGCGTAACAAAAAGGGGGCGGGGGGGGGGGGGGAAGTGAAGGAAGGGGTATTTCAAAGTGGCAGCGCTGCATGGAGCCTGGAGCCAGACTCTGGGCTCTAAGCAGCACTGCCTCTTACACTGGGCTCCTGCAGTGGCATTTTAAAGGCTCCTCCTGGCATTTCAAAGCAGCAGACCTTTGTGGAGCCCGGGATCAGCTGGGGTGTCCTGAGAGCTGAGGAGACTAGTTGCTAGGGTGTCTCCGCCTTTGAAGTGTAGAAATGGCCCTAGGGTTGTTGCTACACTTTAAAGGCAAAAGTGCCATGTGGAACTGGGAATCAGCTGGGGAGTCCCCAGCTGATCCTGGGCTCCAAACGGTGCTGTGGCTTTAAAATGCTGGGAGGAACCTGAAGCTGGGCTCCTGTGGCAATGTTTCAAAGCAGCAGCACCATTTGGAGCCCAGGGTCAGCAGGGAGTCTCCAGCTAATCCCAGGCTCCAAGTGGTGCTTTTGGCATTAAAGTGTAGCAACAGGCCTAGGTCTGCTTCTACAGTTCAGAGGCAGACACACCCTATGGGCTAGTCAATGCAAAATACATTAACTATTCAATTAGTCAGTTACCTGCAATTTAACATCCCTACCCCAGACCCTGATTGGCCTGAGGGGTGGGGGACCACGTGAAGTCTCTCGCCCCCTGCCCTTTAAAGGGCACATGGCACCTAGAGAGAACCACCAGCTGTTTTGAACAACTGATGGCCCCCCTCTCTAGGTGTCTCATGCCTTTAGTGGCGGGAGGAGACTTTGTGTGCTTCCCTGTCCTCAGTTCTCAAGCTGTCTGTAGGCAGGGAAGTGGCAGGGCAGCCGTGGGCTGGGTCAGATGGCTTGGTGGGCTGCATCTGGCCCTCCAATTGTATCTTGCCCACCCCTGCTGTAGAGGAAGGAGACGTCCTATCCCTCCCTAGTCTGATTTCTGAGCAATCAGATGGTCCCTGATATGTTTTTCAGGGGTGTGAAATTCATAGGACCCCAGTTATCATGCTCTTTATATTTTAGATGAACATAACGCTGTGTACAGTGTGAGTTCTTTACATGTCAGGTTGAACTGGGTAAAACACTTGCTTAATATTTCTTTAATCTTTTTATCTGTGGAATATTAAGTGCTGTAGCAGGAATCTAAGATATGGCTTTGTCATGTGATATGGCTGAAATTCACACTGCTGGTATTGTTTGGATAAAGCTTTCTTTAATATTCATTTTGGTTGGAAAAAAGGGTGATCAGCATATTAGTATATTCTAAGATGTTATTAAAGGTTTACTTTTTTCTAAGGCCTTCCTTAAAGATGAAGAGTATAGAGTACTAGAGGATTTAGCTGGCATTGTTAGAGTCCTTAACTGAAATAATTTTTGTTTTTCTTAATTTAAATCATTGCTCTGGGGTGGGCTTGGGGATGAGGGATTCAGTATGCAGGCTGTCCTAGAGAGAGAGGACAACCCAGACCTCTCTGACGCTAGCAGGTTGGGGCCAGATGAGAAGAGCCTGTCCCATGCACTGGGCACAGCTGAGGGAGGAGTGCAGGTTCCCAGGCTGGGAGCCAGACAGACATGAACAAACTCTGATAGTGCATAGTTGTCCTTTCTCCACCCCCTACCCCTTGCTGCCCCAGTGGGGTTATAGCTGTCTGGGTCACCATCTCTCATTGCTGAGGTCAGTATATAGTTTAACTGTCTCTGCCAACAGATCTCCTCCCTTTCCATTTTATGAGAGAAAGTTGCATTCCAGGCATTTTCCTAGCACAGCAAAATCCTTACTTGGCTTTAAATTACAAGAGGAAGCTGCATACCAAATTTGGTGTCCTAGCTCTTCCTGTTTAGGAGGAGTTCTTCAACAAAAATCACTCTGATAGAGGGACAGACACACATACACTAACTCTCTCAAATATGTAGTAGATTCTACATGTACTGACTCTTGGTTTACACTATATAGGTGTATTACAAGTACATGGTAATTACACTATATATCACGTACTTGCTGATTTTGCAGTTGTTTTTGTATGATGAATTTCTACTACATAAATTTGAGTAAGATGGTAAATTGAAAGCTCATTCTAAAATATTTGGGTAAGTTAAAACAAGAACGCGAGTTCAAGGTTTTATGGTGGATTTATTTCCAAGTAGACCAAATTTTACCTCAAGTCAAATACACTTTTAGTACTCTTTTCTGTAATACATTAGCAAACACCTTTATCTACCATATGTACCATATAAGTGCTGTTACGTTAATTTAGATGGAATAAATAGGCCCAAGGAATGAGAGGTGATAGCATAAATTACTGACCAGCATAAATCAATAGTTTTAAACAAGGTTCAGGGTTAGTAACGAGAGACCTATTTATTACTATGATTCAAACAAATTAAAAATCCTTGCAATCCTTTGTTAAAAATATAGATAAGAAGGAAAGCAGTTATAGCATTTGAAATGTAAAATATGAAGTAGGGATGTGAACAGTTGGGTGATGCAAACCAGAATTGGTTGGCTGCTCAGCTGATGGGGGGGGGGGAGGGGCTGGGGCAGCTCCTTGCCTGCCATGGGCAGGGGGCTGCTCCAGCTCTTCAGAGCACCCACTACAGACAAGGATTGCTCTGGACTCTGGGCACTCTGCAGGCAGGGAAGGCTCCTTCAGCCCAGCCTCTGCCTTAATGTTTAGCCAGTTAACCAATTTTATGGGATTTTATATCTCTTTTATGAAGACTAGCTTCTAACAACATCTCTTCTTGCCTTTCCCTTTAACTGAAGAGTTTTCAGAAGTGCAGAACCCCTTGTTTGACTGTCTGTTAGATGGTAGTATATATGGTGGTAACTGTCTCTCTAAAGAAAAGAGAAGTTAGTTGAAATAACTGGCACTGTTGTTGTTACTAAGTCTGATCCCATTTCCTTTGAGTCAAAACACAACAAACGCACATACAAGAGAGGAGTAAAGACCAGCAGAGGTAGAAAATTCATGTTCTGTCTATGATGTGGACTCACTTGCAACCCCGCTGCTGGGAGAAAAAAAAATGGTACAGCCACTCTGGGACTTGTAAATAGCACGATACTGGTATGAATTTAGGACAGTGCTTTTAGATGCCTTGTTCTGGTCACAGCAAGGTTGCAAAATACAGACTTTAAAAAGAAGGAAAAAGGTGAAGGTTATGAAAGAGAAATCATCTGGGAAGGAGAAGAAAACACAAAGGAGTGGGGAGTTTTACACAGTCTTGCATCCTAGATGGTGACTGGGATTCAGCCAAAAGGGGAGTGATGGGTGGAATAGCCCAACCTTTTGACAATTTATCCAAGGGTTAGATTTAATTATTCACACAACAATTTGGATTAACTAACAGTAATGGGTAAACCGGTTAATCATTCACATCCCTACACTGCTCACTATGTTCAAAGTTAGGCCAAATTTGTACAGCTGATTACAATAGTTCTTCTTCGAGTGGTTGCTCATGTCCATTCGAATCAGGTGTGCGCACCGTGTGTTCTGGAGCGTTTTCCTAGCAGTACCCATAGCGCCAGCAGGGCACCCCCTGGAGTGGCGCTGCCATGGCAGGGCATAAGTACCCCTGCTGGCGCGACCCCATCTTAGTTCCTTCTTACCGCCCGTGATGGTTGTTGGAGCATGTCTCTCTGTTAGAGCAGTTAATGGTTCATGTTTTCTCTTAGCATTGTAAATAGTTCTAAAAAGTTCAAATTAGTTAGATAGTTAGTAGCTCTTTGTTTTTTCTTCTCCCCCTTCAGGGGTGAGGAATGCCAGGGCCGCAAGGCTTTAGGGCGTGTGCTGTGTGCGTGAAGTTTATGCCCAAAGGAGACCCTCATGATAGTTGTCTGAAGTGTCTGGGTGAGAGCCACCTAACAGATGCCTGTAAGATCTGCAGGTCGTTTA